TTGAAGCTCGACAGCAACCGCAGCAGCGCCTGAGCGAGCTGTATCCTGCCGAAGCCAGCGAAATTATGGGGGAGGCCGAGGGAGGAGGAGGTAGCAACAGCGAAAATGACATTTCTACAAGCTCACTGGAGGAGTTCTTGGCATCAAGGGATGCTGGCGAGGGACAGGACAGAGACGACTCATCGACATCGGCATAAGGCGCGTCACGTGCCCGTGGAGAGTGTTGTGGAAGAGGAAACATCGACCGGTTTAGTGGGAGAGCCGACCTTTTCCTCGAAATATACATATCTGTGGCTTCAGTATTTTGCGTAATGAAATGGTATGCATACTTGAAAGAGAACCAACAACAAACCCAAAGTAACTAGACATTATTACAAACTGAGGTTCATTGACCAACATGCCGCTGAGGACAACACGAGAATGTAATCCTAAGGACATGCTTGTCCCGCGAACGGTGACTGCAACGCCCAGACAAAACCACTCGATGTCTTCCTTTGCCCATCTATAATTCGATTTCTTTCGGGTACAAAAGTATATATGTATCATATTTAGGGTATATCTTTTCCAGCAAGTTTTCTTCTCGCATGCTTTTTGCTCACTTTCCACGTGCCGGCGAAAATTCAATTCGAGGCCTGACAAGGTTTTTGGGTAAGGGTTTCCACGTTTTTTTCATACTGTCCGATGTCAAGGCTTTATTTGCCCTCCGTTAGCGCATCTGCTGGTCTTAAGATAGAGAGGATATCAGGGGAAAACCTTAAGAGGATCGCGAGGTCCTGTTTAAATAACTCGGGCCAAGTTTTGCGGCCGCCATTCCTGTTGCTAGGCTTGGATGCGTTCCTCCAAGCGCACGAGCGTTTGCTTTGGTGGCTACATATCCATCACAGGAGCTTGAAAGCTAGACGATGCAGGGGCTGAAGGATCCGTCTCCCGCACAGATTTTGTTCTTTCCAGTTGAGCAAGCAGATGCACGGTTGATTTTGTGGGCAGCTCCATGGAATGTGGAAGTCGTGGCTGCAGCAATGAGTCTGCAAGAGTCGACGGCAAAAGAGTGTAGGGGAAAGGCGAGGGAGTTGGGGGCTTTGCATAGTGATGCTGGTCAAAGACACGCGCAGGTTCGCTTAAAAATGTGCCTTGATCCTGGAAATGGTGCGAAGGCTGTGCGCGAGACGATGATATGCGGCCTGGGCATCGCTCCGTGTTCGCCTCCACGTCTTCCTTCTGGCGCTTCACTTCGCTCGTACTCATCCTCCCACTCGAGCTCTCCTCCGTGATATTGCTAACCTCGACGCTAGTAACAGGAGCGTCGAATTCCTCTTGGCCTGATCTGCCCCCCGACCACCAGGCCCCTTGATTGCCTCGCAGCTCGACGTATTGTCGCATGAAGGGCGTCTCCCACTGATGTCTATAAGGGACGCCTTCCACCTCGCTGCACCCGATGCATTTAAAGCCCTCCTCTTCACCTTCCGCCTCCCTCTTCCGGGTCTTGCCCCGGCCACCATCTCCTTTCTTACCCATTCCTCTCTTCCCCTTTCCCATTTTCATCGGTTTAGACCTCGAGTTTTTGTGCCCTTGGAGGGGCTTTTGTGCGTTCTCTCCCTTCCCTTTTCCCCCGTCATTTCCTTCCCTTGTCACGTTTTTGGTCCCTCGCAGCCTCGGTTGATACCCCACACACTCGAAATGAAACCACGCCTGGCATCCCTCACATTCCACCATACGCCCGCGCTCCGGGCCACGACACAGGCAAAACTGATCCGCCTCCGTCCCGACGGCGCCCATCCATTCGAGCTCCCTTCCCCCATGGTTCTCCCCCCCCTCTTTCCCAGCCTGGATCCACCGTAGCGCCGCGGCCTGGGCGCGTGCGTAGCCCCACTCGGCCTGCAGGTCAATGAACGCGTGGGCAGGCGGTGCCTTTCCGATGTCCAAGCACAGCTCTGTCCCCGCCCCGACGGAGGCTTCTGTGCCTAGAGGACCGGACCCTGCCGTGCTTGTCGCAGCTCGGAGGGTAGCAGAGGCGGACATGGGCAGGAGGCCGGCGAAAGGAAGCGTTGCAGCAGTGTACAACCAGACCATCACCTCGTCCCTCACACGCCTCAGACGCTGCAGCACCGGTGTGTGGATCAGGCCCAGCCGCTCCCCTTCCTCGACCACTCCACCGAGGAGACCCACCGGGACGCGTGACCGCCGCTGGGAAGCTTGGTCTGCCCCGTCGAAGGCCCCCTCTGTACCCGCGCACTCGTCCCGCCGCCGACCCTGAGGCAAGCAAAGCGGGGCGATCAAACGCCACAAGAACGTCTTCAGCTGCCGAGTCAAGTCCTCGTCCACGCTCAACTCCAGGACGCGGGCTTCCGAGAGTAAGCCGGCCACGCACCGCAACACCCTGGCCTCTATCCTCAGGCGCTCTTCATAACTCCGTTCCCTGCGCCTTCCGTGGAACGCCCTCGCCAACTCCTGCAGTGACGCATCTCCTTCCGACCTCTCCTCCTCCTCCCTGGCCGCTTCCGCGTTCTTCTCTTTCTCTGCTGTCAGCAAGCCTAATGCCCGACGCGCTCGGTCTCTCCACTTTCCGGCCGCCTCGCTCACAAATTTCAAGAAAGGCAAGGCGTCGAAGTGGTAGACGGCCAGCTTGTCCGCCTGAGCCAAAGTTTCCTCAACATCCTTCAAGGTCGCTTTTCTTTTCCCACCCTCACCTTTACCTCCCCCCCGTCCTCCCTGCAAGGGAGGGCAAGCCAGCTCGGAGGGAAGGCCGTCCTCGTGCCGACACCCCGGGCAAAGGTACCCGGATTTCATGTCTTTCAACGCCTTGACCGGGAAATTCGCGCAGTGGGGATGGTACCATTCTTGGCAGCGGTCACAGTTTACCAGCGTCCGCATTTTGCTTTCCGTTTCCGGGAGCCGACAGAAACAGCGGAGGGGTTCTTCAGAAGCCGACGAGGAGGGGCTGGTGGAGCCAGACGCCGCAACAGCCCGTGCTCGGGCTTCGGCCAACACGCCATGCTTCTCCTGCAGCCCATCTTTCGTTTTCTGGGTCGATCGGGCTGCACGCTGCGTACTGCTGACCAGCAGGGCATAACGCGTCCCTTTTCCTCGGCGACCCTCCCGGCCCTTCGGCCCACCGCCAGTGCCAGGCAGGGCCTCCGTTGACTCGGGCTCCCCCATCCTTTCTAATCCGCCCGCCAGCTCCACCTCCTCCCGCTCTGTGTCCATCCCCTTTCCCTTGTCCCCTAAAGGGGCCTCGGAGCCCACCCCGTTCGCCCCGCGTGCCCGCGCCCCCTGGCCCCCGACTTCCTTCCCTCCCTCCCCGCCCCGGCGTGGACCCTGCTGGCTCTCTTCCCTGGACATGATCATTTCCACCATGTCTGCGAGTCCTCCTTCCAGCGCGTCCAAGTATCGGAACTCCATCTCTTCCTCGCCCCCGTCCTCGGTCAAGCCCTCCCGCCCTTCGTACGCGGCTTGTAGTTTCTTCACCAAACGAGACACCTCCCCCACGGTCCCTCCCTTCCTTTTCTCCCTCTCCTCCCCCACGTCCTTCCCCCCCTTTCCGTCCACGTGCAGTCCAAGGCGGCGACACGCCTGACGGGCCCATGCCTCCGCCCGGAGGAGGAGGCGGACGACCTCCCCAATGCCTTCCGTGGGGACTGGCAGACATTCCCCCGCCGACCGGAGGAGCAGCAACGCTTCTTTCATGGAGAGGGATCGGGGGGCCCATTGTTCCGTGCGGGCCCCGGTTGGATGGTCCGAGGCCGGAGGAAGGGACGGAGGGAAACGTCGGTGGGAGGGGAGGGAGGGGAGGGAGGGGAGGGTGGCGGCCTCGCGGGGGGATCCTGCTCCAGCTCCGAGGCTGCAGTCCAGCTTCACGGCCAGAGGACACGGACTAGAGGGGGAGGCAGGAGCCCGGCCATCCTCCACCCCGTGTTCGATCCCAGGCGGTACTCGAGACGTTTCCGGCGTGGCTTGACAGGCCCCGCCCGCCTGCGTCTTGGGGACTGTGGCAGTCGGGCCGGCGTCGGCTTCCTGTAAGGCAGTTTCGCGCACCGTCCGGAGCCGGGCACGCGCCTGCTTGGCGCGGTTTAGGAGCTGACGGGCCTCGGTCGCCTCCTTGAAGCGGATGTCTTTTGGCACGGTGCCCACCAGCTCGGCCAGTGCCTCCAAATCAATCAACGGCCCCGAGGTGGGTCTTTCCCTCGGAGGCACACCAACGCCTCGCGACGACGCAGGGCCCGGCCCATGTTTCGGCCTCCTCCTCGAGACTAGGCCCGTGCACGCCGCGACGCTCGTGTCCACCCCGCCCGCCGGTTCTACCTGCCTCTTCTCCCCCTCCACTTTTTCTTCTTCCTGGCCCTCCTCCGCCCCGGCGCGTGCACCTTCGTCTCCTTCCAGCCACCCTCCCTGCAAGGCCCTCCATCGCCTCTGCCATCCCTGCGCTGCCCGCAGCTTGTCTTGCAGTACCTCGAGCTCCACGCCCTCCTCCCCTTCCTGCACCAGCGCCTCCACTGCCTCCAGACTTGGGGCCCGCATCGCCAGGCACGCGGCTGCGCGCTCCTTCCACCCCTCCCAGTCCTCCCCTTTGCCCTCCGGCCGCTTGCCAATCAACCCACTGCAATTCTTCGCCCCGCATCGACAGGCTTGCTTCCCGAACATGCCCGCCAATGTGTCCACCTGGTAGTTGTAAGTCACCTCCTCCCCTGCCCCCAACCGCCGGGCCGCAACCAAAAGGATATGCGCCTCCCCCCCCGCCCTCCACTTCTGCAGCACGCAGTTCGGCGCACAGCTGTGGTTGGCAAAGCGGGCTTCCGAGCCCATGGGCCCCGCGTCCAGGACCAGCTCCCCCTCCAACGCGGCGAAGTAGTAGTCTTGGCCGGCCGACATGGACCGCATTCGGGTCTGTGCCTCCTCCATGGTCACCACCTCCCCCCGGTACTCGATCAAAAGCGTCCCTTTCTCCACCTCTTCCCGCGTCCGGAGCGCCCACCCACGACCCTGGGTGCGGAAGACCTCGGTGGCGGGAAACTTCCCCTGCTGGATGACCATATTCCCGCAATAAAGATCCCCGTCCCGTAACGACGGGCACCGTCCCACTGGACACTCCATGAAGAGCTGCCGGTTCATACAGCTGTGGTCGCATCCTCCCGCATCGGAGCGGCAGGAGCAGAGCGGCACCTCGTCCTCTCTCCCCGCGGTGCGAGGCCGCAGGGAGGGATGGGAGTAGAGATTTTGACGCAGGAGACGGTACTTGGGGGGCGGGTCGCTTTGTACGAGGCGGATCCATTCCTCGGGCAGGCCAAATTCTGCCGGCGGCATTGCGGGGCAAGGGAGTGGTAAAAAGGCGAGTGAGTGGGAGGTGGGGGAGTCCGCGGTGCGTGTCTTGGCCCTCCTTGTTGCCTTCCCCAGCTTGCCTTGCTTTTTCAGCTGTTGCAAACTTAGTTTTTTGCCCGTTTCCGCTGTGCAGCGAAGACCGGGTCGTAACGAGACTCTTCAGGCTCCCACCGTTGCGTTGGCTTTCGCATTCGGCCACCACATCGTTGCGCTCGGGCTTCCCTGTCCACGATTTCCGTGCTGCTAGCGACCCGTACGCCTTTTGCATCTACATGCGTCGAGGAACTTTCCATGGCATCTACCGTACACGTGCGGCTGTCGTCTGTTGTCAGACTACTGATTTCTTCCGTAATAATGTCGAAGCTAACGCTTGTGTCGCCGTGCATAGAAACGGGGGGCTTGTACTATATTAGAGCGTTTCTGCCTCCCTCCATCAAGCCGGGAATACTGATCATGAACAGACGGAGTGACTGAAGATAAATGCGCAGGGCTACGAAATGTAAATTTAGAATCAATCTTGTCCTATGTATACAACAAATCGAAAAAAGGGACATTTAACATCAGAGAAAGACCGTGTTTTTACTCAACTCGGCCTCGATAAAGGAAGCTCGCCGAGAGGGTATGGCGGAGAAGGAGACGCCGCAAGCCCTCGGGCGCTTCTCACGCACTAATCCGCTTGCCTTTTAGTCACAGCCCTTTCTCAAACCGCGTGGTATTCCTGCGCGTTGTATCAAAGGCTCTGTTTTGCCTTGGCTGCATTCGCATCACCATCCTCTCGGCTTAGCGCCTGCACTCTTACCCGTTGCCCCGGAATCCTCGCGTGGTACCTGCAAGACACTACTTGCCGTACAACACCACCACTTCAACTCACCCCCTGCATACCAGGCCGCTCGCACAGGTTCACACAAATATCCTCACGCATTTTTTCATACGTCAGCCAACAGCCGCAGCGTGTTGCGTCCGTGTGAAAGCTGCCGCCGCCCCGCTCCACCGTATCCTCTACGAATCGCCCCTTTCCTTCCTCGCGTTGCCCGCGCGTCTTCCACTTTCTCCTCTCCACCTTTTTCATCAGGCACCACATCACCAGAGTCGTCGCCGCTGCGGCGTCGCCTACAGTGGTAGCGGCCGCGTTGCCAAAAGCTTCTCGCAGGTCCACGTTTGTCCTCCCCGTGTCACAGGCGCTTGCCTCAGTGCGCACGGAAACGCCTTCGCGGGAATTGCGCAGCCCTTTTACAATGAGCTACCACGGAGGCAACAGAAAAAGGAAGTTTGGTGTCAGCAGCAGGAGCAGGAGTAAAAGCGACGGAAGCGTACAACACAAAAATGCGTTCCCTGCCGCGCTCTCACCACTTCCCAAGTACCGCTGGGACAACAGCGTGGATTTCGGGGAGCATGATGTAGACAGCGCGGAGCCCGTCACGGCAGCTGGGCGACAGACGAATAACAAGGGGTTGCGCGGGCAACAAGGAGACGATCCTAACGGAAGTGCGGTGATTAATGCGCTAATTATCCTCAACACTGATTGTGTGGGTGGAAGCCTGTTTCGCAGGTTCTGGGCGCATTCTACCCTGCGGGTATGTGCGGACGGTGGAGGAAACAGGCTTTATGATAGCCTTGGCAAGATGGAGAGGGAAGATTTCGTACCCATGGCTATAAACGGTGATCTGGACTCTCTGCGTGAGGAGGTAGCGGACTGGTACCGGGCCCGAGGCTCCCAGGTCGTGAAAAACGCGGACCAAGACAGCAACGACCTGGAGAAGTGCTTGGAGTTTCTGAAGGGGCAAGAGGCGGCGAACAAGGGTCCTGGGTCGAGCGGGGGAAAGGATGGGGTGGGATTGCGGCCGTGGGAGAGGGAGCAGGTGGCGACGCGGCAAAGCAGTCGCCTGAACGTCTTTGTGCTCGGCGCCCTGGGCCAACGATTCGACCACACCATGGCAAATTGCCACATCCTGTACAGGTATTCGAAGGTGTTTCGGCGCCTGGTTTTGCTGGGGGAGGAAAGCCTCGCCTTCCTGTTGCCGGCGGGGAGGCATTGGATCGTCCCGGACGCGAGGACAGAGAATTCTGTCTGTGGCTTGATTCCCATGGGGCAACCGTGCACGTCCATCCGTACTCGAGGGCTCCGGTGGGAGTTGCGTGGGGAGGCCATGGCGATGGGCAGTTTGGTCAGCACCTCGAACGAACGCGTGATGGTGGATGGGGGGGGAGAGGGGGAAGGCGGGGAAGAGGGGAGGGAAGGAGAGAGAGGGGTGTGGATTGAAAATTCCGATCCGGTCATTTGGACCTCGGGCCTCAAAAAGGAATGGCAGAAAGGAAGTTAAAGCGCCTGATGGAGGATGAGTAGGACCATGTATATAAAGCAATGAAGCAGAGTCGGAGGCCGGACTAGTTGGGTGTTCCTCTTCTTTTGCTCATCCCCATAACAAGAGCGACGTCATGATCTCGACAAATTTCCCACGTCCTATCAATCGCAAGCTTTCCATGGCCAAAAAGCCCATAGCCCACACTCGCAGGCTGAAATACCAGCGCGTTCTCTGCAACGTCACCATCCCCAACGTCATCCCCCCGGTCGTCATGTCGAAAGCAATGTCCGTCCCTCCCCGCACAGGTGTGCTCAAGACCTGCCGCCCGGCTCCCTCCACCGAGAAATGCAAAGGGTGTCCGTCTTGCGCGGGCAACAGGACCAAGCCTTTCTCCTTGTTGAATAGACGGGTACGGAGAGGGCCCCAGAGGGCGCGCATCCGCAGCCGGGAGTCTTCCACGTACACTTGAACTTCGCCGCCCAAGGTCCACATAACCCGGGCTGAGAATTCTTTCCAGGGGAGTTGATAGACCCCGACCACCTGCGGCCACAGGACCGCCGCCTCGAAGCCCGGAGCCCGCATTCCAAATGCCTGTCTCCAGGGCCGGGCGTGCGAGCTCGAGCGAAGCTGGCACGGTGCAGGTTCCTCTCGGGTCGATATAGGTTGCGCCACGACAGGCACGTCCTCCTGCTGATCAGTCACGCCAAATTCTCTCTTACGCTGCTCCGTACGACTCGAGCCCTCTTGTGGAAGTTCCTTCCCAGCTCCATCCCCTCGCGTCTCGCACCATACAGAACCCGCCCTGGCGTCCGAGGCCTGCCGCGAAACCTCCTGGAACGCCATGGCTGCCACCCGGGAGAGCTCGTAGGAATCGCTTCCAGCATTGCACAAGACCCCTGCCCCTACCCCACGGTGTCGAGAGAAGATTAACGCGGTCTGGTATCCTGCGAACGACATTCCCTGACCGCACGTGACGTAGGCCACCTCCCGGTCCACAGGATCGAACGACTCCTCCACTGCAAAACTCAGGGCTTGTGCGGGCAAAAATGCATCCTTTTGGTACGAAGGACGAAGGAGCTCGTCCAGCATAGTCTCGGAAAGCGCGCCGTTCGCGGATTGGGCGGGGTCCACCAAGGCCTGCAGATATCGGCCCATGTCCTGGGCGCTGGAATAGGACAGCCCCCCCACGCCGGAAGGACGCCCTTGGCCCGGGTCAAAGACACCATGCGCCGGTATGGGCAAGAATCCTTCCTTCTTGGCCCATCGAAAAGACGTGGTCAGGTCCCTGCTGTGTCCCTCCGGCACCTGGAGATCCGTGCTCGTCATGCGGAGGGGCTGGAAGACGTTCGCTCTGAGGAGCGACCGAATTCCCGTCCTCGACGATCGGCGGGAGCTATTCGCATCGCAGGCAGCCGCCACTTCCTCGCAAGCAAGGGCCAGGAGCCCGTAGTTGTGGTGGCTCTTGATGTGTTGCCTTCCCGGAATTCCCACCGCCTGGACAGGCAGAGCTGCGGGTCCACAGTAGTAGTCCCGAAGCGCCGCTGCTTCGCTTCTGGGACGTTTTACTCCAATTTTGGGCCACGGTGCGAATTCCTTCATCATGCGCAATATGTCATGGCGGTTGCGGTACTCCCGGATTCCACTGGTGTGGGAGAGGAGATGTCGCAAAGTAATTGGAGGCGCACCCTTTTCCAGTTGATTTATTCGCAAATTGGGCAAATATGTTGTGATCGGATCATCAAGACTCAATTTTCCTTTCACATGAAGCTGGACGACAAGCAGCGCGACGAAATTCTTCGTCAAGCTTGCTCCGATTGGGAAAATTGTCTCATCATTCACAGGACGCGTGCGTGCGAGCTGTGTCTGGTCCAGATGTGCTACACCGTAATGTCGAAAAAATGGTGAAGGCTGTTCTTTGTCAACCAAAATGATAGTCAGACCTGGAAGCGGGGAACCCTAGTAGTTTGAATGATAAAACACTATAATTAATATATTTAGGCGCGACTTGAGAACGATAATTATTGCAAGACATTACCTTGAGGGCCTTGACGAGACCAGTATCCAGACGCTTTACCGCGGCGGTACATACCATCTGTGATTGTCAGTACGCCCATTGTAACAAAGGAGTTGACAAAGCAACAAATCGACCCCACGTTGGCCCTTGGCTGGAACACCGACAGACATTACAATGAGCAGATCCTTGCTTGGATTCAGCCCAGAAAAATGCAGCCAGCAACTGCATGCTATACCAAGAGCGCCTACCAAGCATGATAAAGAGCAAATTGGCTTCCGAAAGACCCACTCCATCATCGCGTTGACTCGTGGGCGCTATCGTTGGGAGGTTGTTTACGAACATCTTCGCCAAGACCGACCTTGCGCGTGACCGCGATGCACCGAGACATTCGTATGGAATTGTACACGTACCCGTAATCGTCAAGAGCGTGCAGTCTCTCTTGCATGCGCCTATTGTTTGCGACCTTCAAGAAAATGTGGTTTTGGATTGAAGGAGGACGGACAACTTATTTTATTGTCCCTGTCCGATTTCGACTTCGGAAACTCGTTCACGTGCAGCTCAAAACCGTTACTGTTGACTTTCTGACAAGCAACTGGGTATGACAAGGAAAAATTCTCCAAGTTGAAAACCTTTTCAGACAATGTCCTGCGCACTTGAGGCAAATG